TGCAGCATTGGTGGAATGTTACTTTTTGTTAGGCAATCCTACAAACTATAGGACACAAAGCTAAAGTAATAAATTTTTCCAAATTTCATTAACATAATCATTCAGTTGAGAATAGGTTACTTTGCTTAAATTGTTAAATCTTGTGGCGACAGCAGCAGACACAGCCTGAGAGAGCTACCAGCTGCCAGGAGGGCCTTGCCCGCCCACAGGGACTGAGTGTCCCTGTCCAGTGCAGGGGACTGTCATCCTCTGTCTGCAGCCAGCAGAGGGCAGCGGGGCCCACGGATACAAGGCAGGTGATGATGCGGCCCCAACCAGGAGGAGAGCCACCGCCACACAGGCAGGACCATGATACATAAGGACCCCGCCGCTCATCACTGAGGGACAGGGAAATGGCACGGCTGAGACATCAGTGTGGAGAAGGGAGCAAAGCAGCCAGGACATCCATGCAGGTGGGCCAGTGGTGCAGCCAGGACTTCAAGGCTGACAATGACCTCTACATCGACGCAGACGGGACAGTGATGTGGAAGGGACACACACACACACACACACACACACACACAGGACGGCAGCACAGCCAGGACACCAAGGCAGAGGGGACCTAGACACAATCCTGACTTCAGCGAGGCTGGGACATTAGCGTGGTGGGGATGTGGACATGGGAGAGATATAGAAACTGCCAGGATGTGACACCCACGGGACACTGGACCACAAACACGCGGACACAGCGGAAACATGAACACAGGTCTGGTTCACAAAGGACGCCCAGTTACCTGACATAAAGACACTGCTGTTGTACATGGGGGAGAGAAGGAAAAATGAACTACAAAGTCATTTATATAAAAGTAATAATGTCCGTGACTAAGTACCATTCCATTCAACATTTGTACATCATTCACCGCAGCTGACCACCTTTCCTGCCGGCCTGCACTAAGTGTTATCCGCAGGTTGCATATGAGATGGCAGCAAAGAGCCACACTTAGGACATTTTTCTAAGTGATTATAATGAGCTATAAAGCAAGTTTCAACAAATTTCAAAGGACTGAAATTATTATATACAGTATGTTTCTTTCTGTCATGGCTATTAACACAGAAATCATAAATGAAAGGTAACTAGATACTCCTGATATTTACTAAATACAGGTCTAAATAACATTACAATCAACATTTATTGATATTCTACTATAGCCCACCAATTTTCCTGCTGACCTACCACTAACATGCTATTCCCCAAAGGCCCACGAGATGGCAGCAGAGATGCACACTTGGAACATTTTACTATTTGCTTGGCCAAAGGGTTCATTCGGTTTTTAGGTAAAGACACCGTGAAAGAGATGTTTTGTGTTTTCACGGATAATGTCATTGAACAATGTATTGTTTTGTTCCACTACCTTCTGCAGTCTTTCAGGCATCTTCAAAATTCCATCTTCTCCAAAGTTTTTATTTTTTGGCCAAGCCAATATAAAGCCAGTTTCAACAAGCAACGCAGCGTTGAAAGTATATACTATATGTTTCTCTAAGTGCTCCTATTGTACTGAAGCTAGAATTCACTAAAACTGAGTGACGGGAAAGTCCTTATATTTGGTAGTTATGTAATACACTTCTAAATAACCACAAAAATAAAACAATTTGAATTACAAAATAAACTGAATGGGGTAAAGAAACTTCATACCAAAACCTATGAAAAACATCTTCACCCTTAAACACACAGTAGCAAAAATAAAAGCTGAAAATATACAACTTTTGTGCCCATACTTATAACCTAAAATAGTAAATGAAATCCAGAGAAAGTAGACAGAAACGTTCACGTTGATCTATCTGCAAGTGTATATACATAAAATGATAGTAGTTCTTTTTAACTCTTGGGGTAAAATTTTCAGTAAATGTTTTCTCATTGTTTAAGTAAGCAGCAACAAAGTAAATTGAAAATGCTTTTCAAGCACACTTGGAACTTTTTAAAAACTGACTATATTTAGTTATAAAGCAGGTTTCAACAAATGTCTCACAAACTATGTTTATTGCTCTCTTTGCCATTAATCTGAAAGCCAGTCACAAGGTAACTACAAAGTCCCTATATTTAGGTGTTTTAAAATACACTTCTAAATACCTTTCCAAAATAAATCACAATTGTAGTGGAAAATAATTTGCATAGAAAAATAATAAAAATACTGCATACTAGACCGGGATCTTTCTAGTTTCAAAAATGATAAAAGCTTCAAACTCTTTCTCAACCAAAGGTGATTTTTGCCCCCAAGAGGACTTAGGCAATGCACTGAGTCATTTTAGATTGTCCTGAGGGGAAGGGAAGGGAGAGTGTTGACGGTGGATAGAGGTATGGATGCTACTAAGCACCTACAATGCAGAGGACAATCCCCCAGGAGGATGAATCATGTGGCCCAAAACATCCCTGGTGCTGAGAATGACAAACCCTGCTGTGTATCATGAAGATTCCCTTAGAATACAAACAGCATGTCCCTTTGCATCCTAGATCTGAAAGGCTGCCTTTCTTGGAACAGGCAGCATGGAAGCTGAAGCTTAAAGAACAAAAAATGCGGACCATCTTGCCAACACTGGGGAGAAGCGTCCTGGGCAATAGGTCAGGAGGCAAAGGAAGATCTGTCCACTTAGGAGACCGCATCACACTCTGACTACACAGAGTAGTTATCTGAGGATCCCTGCTTCTTTCCATAGCTCATAAGTCACTTTAATAACTGTTTCATAGTGATACTTAGAACAAGTAATCTTCCTCTTTTAGATTCCAGATTTGACCACCTCAAGTTTTCCTCTTTGAAAATGTTGACATTTGCTACATTCTGTGTTCCTCAGATTACTACCAGAGGCACATTTCCTGTAACAAAATACTTGAGATTTCTAGAACCATGGTTCCAAGCCCTAAACTCATTTAAAGTATTAAGAATGATGTTACTCTTTTGTTGAGTCATTAATATATTTATAACTAACAAAGAGAATTTTTCTAGCTCCTCACATTACCTCACTTCTTCCTGTTTTTACTCAAGCTTTAACTATTTCTAGGTCACCTACACCTACAACCATGTAATGATCATTATTGCATGAGAGCATGTTTACCTTCATAACTCATGAGAATCAACTGAAAAGTATCACAAATAGAATTTAGTACAAATGGAGAAATAACATGCAGAAACATGTAGAAAAAGTACATTAATTATATAATTTTTTTTAATAAGACTCAATTGCAACAAAACAGGTAAAAAAAACCCTCGGGAAAAAAAAACCCCCTCAGAATAAACTTCACAACAATGTACAGGATCTTTACAAACAAAATTGGAAATTGCTACACAATAACAGAAACTCGAACATATGAAAAATATCATCTTGTTGTGGGATTAAAAAATAGCTATCTTTCTATACCCATTTACCAAAGTTATCTACAACAGAAATATCCAGATAAATATAGAAAAGTCATCCAACAGGAAGCAGTCAGTTAAATTGGGACCCGAGACATGTGCCCCAGAAAGTCTGGTCCCCCTTCCCTGCTCCCCACAGGGTGGCTGTATCTGTCCCCCAACTCCCTCACCTCATAGCCCCCTCGCAGCTCACCTGCTGCCCCGGGGCTTCATTGCTTGCATCACGTTAGGCTGTGAGCATCACCTCGTGACCACAGAGACCAGCAGCCCGCAGCGCCTAACCTCCAGTCTGGGTAGCTGTTCATCTCTCCCCCAGAACTGCCCACCCCTCACCCTGCCCGCCTAAATATGGCCCCCTCCCAGCCCCACCCACCTCTGTGGCTTGTCCCTCTCTCACCTCCAGCCCAGTCCCGGCTCTGACCTTAGGCAGGCCCCGCCCCTTCATCTGTAGGTTGGATTTTTAGTGGTCCATTTAAACAAAACCAGCCAGGAATCAGGTATACTTGTGGACATGCAGTGTAAGGAAGAAATGCACTAATAACATATACTTTACAAAATTAAAGACAACTCTGAAAAAGAACTTGTTCACACAATAAAAAGAAAAGACACAAACTGGGAGAAAATATGAATTACCTAAAACATGGGGTGAAAGAAGATCCAAAGTGAAAGAATGAGAAAAGATACACAGGTTGTTGCAGAAGCAGCTTTATAGTTGTTCACATAGAAAATGTCATAGTTATTAAGTAATAGGACAACAACAAACATTGTTTCTCGTATTCAGAACTCTAAACCTAATTTTGCCCCACCCTCTACTATGCAAACATAAACCACATGAAAATTACATACTAACATGCAGTGGACTTCACGGTAAAAAGCATGACTAGAGATGAAGGGCACTTCATATCAATGAGTTTAATTGACCAGGAAGATCCAAATCCATAAACAATGTCATACACTTAAATATATAGAACAGAGACACAAAGAAAAACTTATAATCATAATAGATTTAACAAACCTCTCTCATCAGGGGTAGCGCATACCTCTTTCAGAAACAAGAGACCACCTCACAAAATTTAGTAAGAAGGTAAGAAACACCATGAGCAGCAAATTGGATTCAACAGTCACAGCTAACCGACTATACACAAATTTTCCTGCCGACCTGCCCTAAGGTGTTATTCCCAAAATGACCACGAGATGGCAGAAGAGATGAATCTGCTTGGAACATTTTTTACATTGACCATATTGTAATAAAGCAAGTTTCCAAAAAATTCAAAGGATTGAAATTACATGAAGTATGTTTCTTGCTCTCATTGTAGTTAACCTAGATATCAGTTATAAAAGGTAACTAGAAAGTTCTTACATTTAAAAGTTATGAAATAGCCCTGGCTGGTGTAGCTCAGTGGATTGAGCATAGGCCTGCGAACCAAAGGGTCGCCGGTTCAATTCCCAGGCAGGGCACATGCCTGGGTTGCAGGCCAGGTCCCCAGTAGGGGACACATGAGAGGCAACCACACATTGATATTTCTCTCCCACTCTTTCTCCTTCCCTCCCCCCTCTCTAAAAATAAATAAATAAAATATACGAAAAATGAAAGTTATGAAATAATATACTTACCTGCCAGGGGAAATCCCGTGATCACGCAGGATGTGCTGACCCCCGCAATTTCCCCAAATGTGGGGGCCTTGGCTGCATACTTTGTCGTACTGGGAACCACGTTTGCATTCTCCTGTAAAGAAAAAAAATGATGAAACACACGTCTAAATAACCCTCAGAATGAATCACCATTGGAGTAACAAATAATTGAAACTGAATAATGAAAATGATACATTGAATACCTATGGGAAAATGTAGTGATAAATCTGCACATTAGGGGGAGACAGCTGAACATTCACAAGTTTTGCATCCATATTACAAGCCAAGAATAATAAATTAAATCCAGAGAAAGCAGAAGAATGGAAATAGGCAAGGAGAGATGTCTGGAACGGTATGTACTTAAAACAATAGCAGTTATTACTTGTTTGGGTAGGATTTAGAATTCATTTTTATTTTTCTGTATAATTCAAGTAAGCTGCCACCAAAAAGGCAGTCTTGGTTTGGGTTAAAAAAAAAAAAAAAGAAGGGATGAGAGGAAAACATGGCATAATTTAAGACAATGATAACTGGACTGCTGTGTAAACAACACCAAGGCCTTTTCTCTGCTCCCCCAGGCTGATCTCAGAGGAGCCCCTTTTCCAAAGTGGCTCCTTTGTGTGCAAATGCAGCCCAGCAGAGAGGAAATGACAGCACCAGACCAGAATGGGCACAGCAGTGCTGGGCAGCACAGCCTGAGGGGGAACTTGCCCCGGGGCTGCCTCACTTCAGGGTCCCCTCACAGCCAAGACTCTTCACAACTAAGCAGCAGCACCACTGGGCTGACCCACACAGGGGCTGCTTCATGATTCACCTGGAACAACACTGAGCTTCCTAACAGCCATGCTGCACTCACACCCATTAGTACCAAAATGCAGCTATTTGCATCAAATAGAGTTTCCTTCTTCCCCACACCCCAACTCTGGAACTCCTGCTGGCTTTGACTTGGAGCCAATAACCATCAGTTCACAGACACCAGATGCCACAGACAGACTCAGAACCAGACGCAGGCCCTAGACTCCAGAACCTGGGCCCCAGAATACACCAGGAACCAAAAGCTGAACCCCAGACCCAGGCCCCAATCCCAAAACTGTCCCCATGACCCAGGCCAGACCATCGACCCTGAATGCCAGACCCCAGACACCAAAGACCGACAGTGAACCCTGGACACCAGGTTCTATGCATCAGACACTGTAGCCAGAGCTGCACATGGACCCCACACCCCCACCCTGGACACAAAGCCACACCCGAAGAGGCCCCAGATTCCAGACACACAGCTAAACATAGATTTACCCCAGGCCACAGACCTGGGTGACAGAACCCACAGCCAGACTCCAGGGCTGGAGCTGGACTATTCAGCCCAGTTGCCAGATGCAGGAGTGGAACCAAGTCCTCACAATGTAAACAGAACCAGGAGTCAACAAAGAACATTCCAGACTCTCTAAGTCCGAGCAGCTGGCTCACAAGTACATTTTCATGCCAATGTAAGTGTACAAGGGAGGAAAATAACTCACAGAAATGCTAAATTACACCAAGCCCTGCAGAAATAGGCCAAAAAGGCTGACAGAAAAAAGAATAATCACATACTTTTGCCGGGAGAAGTTTATGATCTCTCAGAGGCTGCACTTTGCAGAATTTAGTGTCCCAGCCATGAATGTCACACGGCCAGCTCACCAAACCTGTGGGAGATTAAAACATTCTTGTCCTACCTTCTAAGTTCTGGCAGCTGGGCTAATAATTGAATTGACATAATCATATTAACAGGAGATATTCAGTGTTTAATACATGTGCAAAGAGAATTCTTAGTTAAATGAATACCAAATGCAATGAGGTAATATTGGGTATATGGGGAATTTTGGAAAATGGAAGAACAGAGTCTTAGATTTCAAAGATGAAGTGGGGGACATGCAGGTAATTTAGAAGAAAAGGCAGCATACTTGCCAGGTTGATTTTTGTTGGGCAACCCTGAAAACTTTAAGACACAAAGAGTATGGGAAGAGGGTCAACAAGCTCTTGCTAGGAGTCTTACTGTCTGAAGCTGAGGCGATTGTGCTGAAGCTCTCTTCCTAAACCAAACTGTGGCAACTAAACCTCTTAGGAAGAAATGAGGTGACAATTCTAAGTAATTTCTCAGTCTTCTCTTTCTTAACAGCCAGTTTAACATCAACACACCAAGTGCAAAATGGTGGCCCTCCTCATTACCACCTTTGAAACTTTAAAATAGAAGTTGTATATCCACAAGGTATATTTGTCCATTGGTCCATATTTCACTGACGTAATCATTCAGTTTTGAGAATCAGTTATTTTACTTAAATCTTACTTAAGTAAATGTTGATGTACATGTAATCCCCAAATCCACCTTCTATTAAATATCTGTTTGCTTACATGGCGGAGAAACAATCCTTTTTCTAACCTCAAGAAACTTTGGGCTGGTCTTACAATCCAACAGGTATGACACAGATTACCAAATGAAATAACCAAATTTGAGACATACACAGGCATAAGAACTTCATTCACATGAGAGTCAAAAACCCCACATGCAGACGAGCATCAGACATAGAACGGAGACGTGGGCACATAAAAAGTATCGAGGCCGTGAAGGTGTGAGGTGCGCTGGGCTTCAAAGTGTCCTTGCAAAATAAGGGCAGCTGCTTGGGAGAAAGTTGCTATCCCCAACATGTCCACAAGGTGGCAACAAAAACGAGCATTTCCTGTTGGTCTCAACTCAGATGCTATTCCAAAGATGAACACTAGATGGCGGAGTGCAGCAGTGTGAAAAGGGGTCTCACTCTAAGAGACCAGGTCCAGACACGTCGGCTGTGGGTTCAGGTGTGGTTGTCACGTCTTTGGTTCTTGGGACTGAGAAGATTGTCTTCTTCAGTAATCGAAGACCTGTTTAAAACAATATGAAACAGAGACATTTTAAGGAAACATAGTATCTTTGCTTTACAGGTGGAAAATGTTTCACTCTATCTTATCTGATGTTTCGGGAAAACTTTGTCCTGTTATCAAAGTAAAATAGAAACAAACTCTGCTTCTACGTCAGCTCGCTTTTCCTATTTACATTCATTCACTTAATGAAATTTATTCCCATTGTACTCAGCTTCGCCGTGGATAAAAACTTCCCCTCACAGACCCTTTACCACTTCCCTTTTCACACTCTGTGTCCTGCTTTTCCTCTCACTGTGGACGAAATTAATTCCCTTTCTCTGAAAAATGCATGCCCATATTTCACATCTTCTTATTCAGTAGCAACATATCTTGTTTTTCTATTACACACAGTCATTTTTCTCTGTTGCCTTTTTTGTATACTTTAATTAGAATTCCGAATCATTTTTAAAAACCTCAGTTTCTAATTAAAACCAAGAATAAGGAATTGTGAATTGCCTGTTACACCAGTATTCTTTTGATCGATGTTTATAAACAAATTCAATTACTTCTAAAGATATATTTACTTATGGCACAATTGTTAATATTCCACAAGAAAAGTTTACTAATAGCCTCAAATATCCTTAGTTCCTCTATAATTTGTAGCAAAACACAATTATATCTGTGTTCCATCAGCCTACTCCTCACATAATCTCACTCACTTGCTCCACACAAACACCTTAAAAAGCCACAGTTCTCCACAAGGAGCAGACCTCTGCAGATCCATGGGCCCTGCACCTCACCTGTTCCTCCTGGTCCCAGGAGGCATCAGCTGGGGACTGTTGGGCATCGAGACATGCCACCACCCCACACGAATGTCCAAGTGCCACTTGGGACGTGGAGGTGGCTGGGGCACTCCCCCTTGCCCCCCCAGAGGCCTTGCAGCCCGCACCTCATAGCTCAGCGGGACCCCCTCCTAGGAGTCCTGCTTAAACCCATTAAATTTGGAAAAATTCCAACTGAAATGAATCTACATATTCCGTGACTTCTCCTAAAATAGCTAAAGCACGATTGGAAACTACAGCCCCAGGAAGTGAAGCATCCCAGTCTCCACATCACTCACCGCTGGAAAATAAGGACAAAGGCCACCAACGCTGTGGTCCCAGTTACTCGGTAACGACAAGTCGCAGAACCGCACCAGCTCGGAGAACTTCCAGACGCAGTAACTCCTGGCAAGAAAGGCCCCAAATTGAACAACCGCGGGAGAAGCAACACCTTCTATCCTCTGACACCTTCTACTTGATTCCTCAGGACCATGCGGGACCCGCCCAATTTTGTTACCATATCAACGTTAACCTTCGTCTTTCGGGAGAACTGGTCACCGTGGCTACAGCAAAGAAGACCCTCTCCGCCAATCATGTCATTTATGGGACCAGAACTGTCCCCAAACTCTATCCCGGCCCTTCCCCTGGCGGAGCGCAGTGAGCACCGTCCCCTGGGGCGGCGTCCGCTCGGACAGGGACATTTGTCTCGTCAGGGACATTTCTGATGTATGAACGCTGACCCTCCCTACTGGCACCCGAACAGCCAAAGAAAGGTCTGGAGACAAAGCGCGCGTGTAAAGAGCCCGCTGACCGGAGGCCGCCCGTGCGCGCCAGGCCCGGTTCAGGCGTCCGGAGCCTCCGCGTGGGGACTCTCTCCTCGTTCTCACACCGCGGAAAAGGTGAGGATTCCTTCGCTCTTTACCTCGGCCCCGCGACGCCGGTTTTCCCATTTTTTCTTCTGTTCATAACCAGGATGGAGAGGGGTGAACTGGACGGCCTTCCCGAGCGCGTCCACGGAACCTTCGCCCGCTCTGCTTCGCGAATTCGCAGCCCGGCGACCCGCCCGCCAGTCGTTACAGGCGGAGGTCGGGAGCGCAGACCCGTTCGCGCTGGGCCCGCCCCACTCCGCTCTCTCCTCCTTCCCACGGGGCAGAGGGGCCCCCCACACTGTACGAGCGCGCGGGCCGTGTCCGGTCTCTCGCCCCGTCGTCCTTTTCCCCCCAACCTGTCCTTCTAGACTATTGTCCTCCGGCACCTCCGCCCACCCGCAGGTCCGCATCCCAAACCTCAGTTCTCTGCGCTCCACCCAACGTAACCCAGGCGTTCACGCTCTTACCCGGTCGGTACCGCCCACTTCCCAGAGCCGGTCCTCCTTCCAGACGCGCGCCGCCCTGCCCTTCTCACCTGGGCTTCGCCCACCGAGCCCTGACCCCGAACCCCGGGACCACACCCCGCCTGCACCCCCGCAGCCTCGGCGCCCCGCACCGGTCAGCGTCCTGGTCACTCCTCCCCTGCAGACCCCGAAATTTCTGGATGGACATCTCCGCGCCCCCTCCACTCTCCATCCGGAGACCTTCGCCCCCGCGGCCCTGCAGACGCCCCTCTGCCCACGCGGGCTCCTCTGCCCGCGTGTCCCGGTCCTGTGGCCGCTGGGAGGGAAGAGAAGGGACGGGCACGCTGACCGGGATCAGGCTGGGTCTGAGAAGGGCTCCGGGACCCACAGGACCTTCCGGACCGACAGAACCGCGGGGAGGCCGAGAACAGGGCGGGGCAGGTGCGGCCCCACCCGGACGCGGAGGACACGGACCCGAGAGCGGTCTCGCCCGGGGAAGGGAGCGCGTTCACTCGGTAAACACATGGGAGGCGTCCCCCGGTGTCAGGCCCGGGCATGGGTGTCTCGTTTGCAGTACGGGACCCACACTGGTGGGAGAGACACATGTGCCTTTGCGGGGCGCACGGCTCACAGGAATAAGGAAATAAATACATTAGTTTATAGGCAGGTAACTGCTGTGAAGAAACAGAACAGAATATTAGGATAGAAAAATGAGTGATCAGAAAAAACAACCTCTCTCGGAAGAAGCGGAGTGGACGCTGAGACCTAAACGTCAGTGAAGGGCCCGGCATCCGGCAGAGAAGCCTCCAGGCTGTGTGGACACCTGCTGGCGCAGGTGGAAGGGACCGCACACCTGGGGAGACTGAGTCACGGTGGGGAAGCGCTGCAGGCTGCCGAGGATGACAGGTTTCCTGTCATTGCTCACCCCTCACTCCTTAATAACTGTTCTGTGACATCACTAAAAGTAAATACTCTGGCTTTCTACATTCCAAACTTCACCATCTAAAATCTCCCTCACCGGACTTCTACCAAGATGGAGGCGTAGGTGGAAATCCCTTGCGTCTGGGCACAACCAAATCTAAAAACAATAAAGTTTTAACAACAGTAAATGCAACCCAACCACACAGAAAATCGACAATACGGAGTCTGAAAAGAACAAAATACTCAGCTAAACCACTAAGAGGGGCGAAGCCAGCAGCCGAGCGGGGTGGCCAAAAAGATCCCCGACTGGGGTGGTGCGCAAGCAGCTGAAGGCACTGATCCCAGGTGTGGGCCAGCTACAGGCGGACACAGGGAAGAGGCTCGGCTGGCTGTCTGTGGTCCGTCCTGCATTTGCCTGCAGATAAACCAGTGAAGAGGCGAGCATTGAGACCAAGTGGCCCAGGGCAGCGGGCTCGCACATTTCTGCTCAGATAAACAGGCGGGGGTGAGAGGTGGGACGGACTAGGCCAGCAGAGAGGACCACCGTTGCTCCCTCTCTGACCCTGCCCCCACATACAGCATCACAACCCAGCGACCTGGGTGGCCCCGCCCTGGTAAATAACTAAGGCTCCGCTCCTCATTGGTAACAGGCACAAGCAGATAAAAACATGGCCCAAGAACAGCTCAGAGCCCCAGAGCCGATAAATCTAAGTGATGAAGAAATAGCTAAACTTTCAGATGCACAGTTCAAAACACTGGTGATCAGGATGCTCACAGAACTGGTTGATTTTAGTCACAAATTAGAGGAACATATGAAGGCTAAACTAATTGAAATGACGGGAAATGCACAGGAAACCAATAGTAATGGAAAGGAGACTGGGACTCAAATCAAGGGAGTAGACCAGAAGGAAGGAAAAAATGACCAAACAGAAAAGAATGAAGAAACAAGAATTCAAAAAAATGAGGAGAGGCTTAGGAACCTCCAGGACATCTTTAAACGTTCCAACATTCGAATTATAGGGGTACCAGAAGGGGAAGAGGAACAGTCACGAGTGGAAACCTTATTTGAACAAATAATAAAGGAGAACTTCCCCAATCTGGCAAAGGAAATAGACTTCCAGGAAATCCAGGAAGCTCAGAGAGTCCCAAAGAAGTTGGACCCAAGAAGGAACACACCAAGGCACATCATCATTACATTAGCCAAGATTAAAATGAAGGAGAGAATCCTAGAAGCAGCAAGAGATAAGGGGACTGTAACCTACAAAAGAGTTCCCATTAGACTGTCAGCTGATTTCTCAAAAGAGACCTTCCAGGCAAGAAGGGGCTGGAAAGAGGTATTCCAAGTCATGAAAACCAAAGACCTATAACCAAGATTGCTCTATCCAGCAAAACTTTCATTTAGAATGGAAGGACAGATAAAGTGCTTCTCAGATAAGACCAAATTCAAGGAGTTCATCATCACCAAGCCCTTATTATATGAAATGTTAAAGGGACTTATCTAAGAAAAAGAAGATAAAAAAGATGAACAGTGAAAGGACAGCAAACTCACAGTTATCAACAACCACACCTAAAACAAAAGCAAATTAAGAGGACAGCTAGATCAGGAGTGAACCATAGAAATGAAGATCTCATGGAAGGTTAGCAACAGGGGAGTGGGAGAAGGAGAAGGGGGGAGAAGGTACAGAAAATAAGTAACATAGACAGTAGATAGAAAATAGGGGGGAGGGCAAGAATAGTATGGGAAATACAGAATCTAAAGAACTTGAGACATGTTCATGAACTAAAGGGGGGGATGGTGGGGGAGGAGTGTGCAGGGTGGAGGGGAATGGAGGGGAAGGAAATAGAACAAATGTAATGGCATAATCAATTAAAAAAAAAATCTCCCTCACCGAAAATGCGCACATTTGCAGTATTGTGAGTTCCTCAGATAACCTAGAGGGGGCGCCATTTCACTTACAAAACATTTGTGCTCTCTACAAGACCAGGGCTCCAAACCCTGAACTCACTTAAAAATCAGTATCCTGCTCCTATTTTATTTCATCGTTAATGACCTCACCACCAACAAAAGTTTTTCTAACTTATCACATTACCTCATCATGATTTCTTCCAAGTTTTATCTATTTTTACATAGCTAAAGTAACACAATTTTATTTACCTTGATCAGTCATGAGAAGCAACGTAATAATAACAAATAACAGAATTTGTGACAGTGAGGGGAAGGAGTATACAGAAATAAATATCCTCTATATGTACGTAGATATTGTAAGTTAAAGACAGAATCGAAAAGCACCAACAGCAACAAAAGAGATAAAATTCCTAAGATCAACCTCGACAAGAATGTGCATGATCCATGTGAACAACATTTAAATGACACCCAATGTGAGACAGTTGAACCACTAGAAAACAATGTCATGTTCTAGTGACAAAAGACATTAGGATGTCAATTTCCCAAAGTTGTTTATGAAGTTGTTTATGATGGAGATTAAAACGTCATCAGCATCTCTGGCACGGAAACACACTTGTTTTCAGCTCACTGGTTGACATGAACGGGATGCACAGTTAAATGCACAGAAACAAATGTCTGCTATTTGCGCAAAGAGTGGAGACACAGCATCCAGTGTCCTGTCCGGGTGACGTGCTCATGCAAAGTGGGCCGAGGAGCTGGTCACTTACATGGGGACCTGAGACGGGTGCCCCGGGGCAGTCTTGGCCCCGTATGTGCTCCCCACCCCCGCTCACCTCAGGACATCCCCATCTGCCATCCCTCCCCTAGTGTGCCCTGGGCCCCAAAACATGCTTCTGTGGTGTAAGGATTACTTTGGACTGATTAATATTTTTAAGAAGCCAGCAGACACGAGAGAATCTCTGAATCCTGAGAACAAGCTGCCTGGAGGCCCAGGGCCCGAGGACCTTTGGCTGTGACTGTCCCTCAGGTGATGGTTTGGAGCCCATCTTCTCTGGGAAAGTTTACGAAAGCAGGTGGACCTCGAGGCGGCAAGTTCATCCCAGGAACTGACACGGTGCGTGAGAACAGCACTCTGTGTCACCAGGGGGAGTGTCCTGGGCTGGCGACAGGCTGGGAACACTGAGAAGGAAGAGAGGGGGAGTGAGCCACCGTGAGCTCTGCTGGGCAGGAAGACGGTTCAGGCCACAGGCACTGCCATTTCACTGAATTTGGGGCTCTCTCTGCCTGAAGGCGCACCATTGGTTGGAGCACCACTGGCTCAAGTGATGGCGTTGCCACCAGAGCTCCTGGTGCTGGGCAGGGGCCGGGCCCTGAGCGGGGCTGGCCAGGGCTGGCCAGCAGTGTGCGGGCTCCTGACTTCATGTAGAAACGATTCGCAACACAAGTCCAGGTGACTGTGCCGGTACATTTATTAAAACTGGGACAGTGAAACAAGGAAGGGCTCAGTGTGGAAGAAGCGACAGGAGAGGCCAGGCAGGGCTGCCTGAGCTCCTGGGAAGTGGGAGAAACGGGGCTTTGGGGACAGTCAGAGGGTCAGCCTGGGATTAACTGCCGCTGCCCACAGCTCCCAACTGCAAATCTCAGGGGGGAGGAGTGGGCACAGGCCGCTCCCCACAGTGAGTGAGCTATACACTGGGCCCTGTGTCTTGGAGATTTCATCTCTCTTGGGAATCTTAGGTGAGGTCTCCAGGGAGGGTTTCAGCAGGTGTCCATCAATGCCCCAGGTGTGCACTTTCAGGGTCATGGTCTCACTGGAGGTCAGTGGCAGGGCAGGGGTTGTCAGTCCTTGCGGCTGGTTTTGCTGCTTTTCTGGGGCTGGAGCTGAAGTCCAACCAAGGCGTTGATGTTGTCTCCACGGAGGTGACCTTCTGCATCTGGCTATACATTGCTTGGCCACTTCGTTCAACTGTCTGTCTCAGGGTTCCCGTTCCACTCGTCCTGGCTCACTGGCCCATCTCCTCACTCTGGGGACAGACACCTTGCATACAAGCATCATTTACTAAATTTTGTCTTCTTTTAATCCTCACCAGAGAATACATGTATTTTTTTTCTTTTAGCGTCTTTTTTTTTTTAATTTTTTTATTGATTATGCCATTACATTTGCTCTATTCCCCCCTCCCTTCCCCTCCACCCTGCATACCCCTCCCCCACCATTTCCCCCTTTAGTTCATGAACATGTGTCTCAAATTCTTTAGATTCTGTATTTCCCCTACTATTCTTACCCTCCCCCCCTATCTATTTTCTATCTACTGTCTATACTACTTATTTTCTGTACCTTCTCCCCCCTTCCCCTCCTCCCACTCCCCTGTTGCTAACCCTCCCTGTGATCTTCATTTCTATGGTTCTGCTCCTGATCTAGCTATCCTCTTAGTTTGCTTTTGTTTTAGGTGTGGTTCTTAATAACTGTGAGTTTGCTGTCCTTTCACTGTTCATCTTTTTTATCTTCTTTTTCTTAGGTAAGTCCCTTTAACATTTCATATAGTAAGGGCTTGGTGATGATGAACTCCTTGAATTTGACCTTATCTGAGAAGCACTTTATCTGTCCTTCCATTCTAAATGAAAGTTTTGCTGGGTAGAGCAATCTTGGTTGTAGATCTTTGGTTTTCATGACTTGGAATACCTCTGTCCAGCCCCTTCTTGCCTGTAAGGTCTCTTTTGAGAAATCAGCTGACAGTCTGATGGGAACTCCTTTGTAGGTGACTGTTCCCTTATCTCTTGCTGCTTCTAGGATTCTCTCCTTCATTTTAATCTTGGCTAATGTAATTATGATGTGCCTTGGTGTGTTCCTTCCGGGTCCAACTTCCTCGGGACTCTCCGAGCTTCCTGGATCTCTCGGAAGTCTATTTCCTTTGCCATCTTGGGGAAATTCTCCTTTATTATTTGTTCAAATAATTTTTCAACTGGTGGTTGTGCCTTTCCCCCTTCTGGTACCCCTATAATTCGAATGTTGGAACGTTTAAAGATGTCCTGGAGTTTCCCAAGCCTCTCCTCATTTTTCTGAATTCTTATTTCTTCATTCCTTTCTGCTTGATCATCTTTTTCTTCTGTCTGGTCCTCTCCCTTGATTTGAGTCCCAATTTTCTTTCCATCACTATTGGTATCTTTTGTATCAGCATTCATTTCAATTAATTTAGCTTCCATATGTTTCTCTAATTTGTGACTAAAATCCACCAGTTCTGTAAGGATCTTTATAACCAGTGTTTTGAACTGTGCATCTGAAAGACTGGCTATTTCTTCATCACTTAGGTCTATCGGTTCTGGGGCTCTGAGTTGTTCTAGAGCCATTTTTGGTTTATTCGTGCTGTTTAGTGAGCGGAGCGAAGCCTTAGTTGTTTACCAGGCCGGGGTGACCCAGGTCGCTGGTTTGTGACGCTGTGTGTGGGGGCGGGGTCAGAGAGGGAGCGATGGTGTTCCTCTCCGCTAGCCCAGCGCATCCAGTCACTCAAACGCCTCGGGCTTGCTTATCCGATCCTAATTTTGCGAGCCTGCTGCACCGCGCGGGTTTCCCTTCTCACTGGTTTCTCCGCACGTAAATGCGCGCGACTGAGCGACCCACCGCGCCTATTCCCTGTGCGCTCCAGCAGCCAGCTCGCTGGCGATCAGCCCTCGGTTGCCTGCGCGCCCCACGCACCACCCTGGGAATTTTTTCTTGCTAACCTGCTCTGCTTCTGGCCTCGCTCCTCGTACCGGTCCAGCCGAGTATCTAGTTGTCCTTTGGACTCCGTATTGTCGATTTTCCGTGTGGCTTGGTTGTGACTGCTGTTAAAAATAGTTGTTCTTAGATTTGGTTGTGCACAGAGGCGAGGTGGACCCTCCACCTACTTCTCCATCTTGGCGGAAGTCCAGAATACATGTATTGATTTTTTTTTTTTTTTTAGAGAGACAGGGGAAGGGAGAGAGAGAGCACACTCTGACAGGTTGGCCATTTACCTGCTACAGTGGAGCTGCTGCTGCCCCGGCCCCCCGAGGCTGCCCTGCCCCAGAGGGACTGCCGGGCCAACGGCCTGCAGCCCAGGAAGGCGAGTCCCCCAGGGAGCTCGTCCTGCCTCCTCCTGCTCTGCACGTTGCTGGCCCATCTTGAGCAGCCGAGGTGCGTGAGCGGCAGTGGGTACCTGGCGGCGGAGGGAACAAAGACACAGCCAGGCCCTGCCCACAGCTCGACTCTGTTTAACAGCCCACACTGACATTTCTTTCCTTCCATTTCTCGAGTGCGCACCCAGAGCCATTTGCTTCTCATACTTCGTACCAATTCATATAACAGAAGCCGCCCCCGGCGCCATGAGGGGGTGCCACTGCCCTCGAGGGACCGAGAGCAGGCCCTTCGGAGAGTGGGGGGCTCCCACAGCAGATGCTTACAGCAGGCGTGTCCACAGTGTCCGCCCAAGCAACGGGCCTCCCAGAGGTGAGCTACTGGAGCCCTTCCTCCTGAGAAATCGAGGCCGCCCTGCCTCGGTGGGATGTCCTGGCTCAGGGGGCAGTGGGTAGACGCTGAGAGCAGAACTGGGGGTGCTCGGGCCCAGCTCCGAGAGCCCCAGCCGGTGCCTTCGTGCGGGATGTCACCCACCCACGTGACTCTGCCCGCCACGCCGCTCCCCCGCTTCCTCAGTTTCCACCCTCCAACCAGCTGCCCAGGGGGCCTTCCTGCCGGCTGAGCAGCCACACAGACCTGGGCTCCGAAACCTGGGCTCTCCTGGACCTGCCCGGTGTGTGCATGGCTGCTCCGGAACGCCCGCCACCTCTCCCACTGAAGCGTGGCAGGATCAGGGCACACACAGCTCCCCACAGACAGGCTGCAGGAAAGGGTGGACCCCGTGTCCTTCCCGTCTTGCTCCAAACCTGCATCGGGGACTCGGACACCCCCAGTCTGTGCGGGGCAGAGACAACCATGGGGACGAGACTCAGGGCAAGCCCGATGTGGAGCCCAGCCTGGCGCCCGCACCTCCAATCCCGGCTGGAGGGGAATGGCAGGAAGTGTGCAGAGGTTTCCCCGGAAACAGGAGGAGCCCACTCCCCCCGGGAGGGTGTTACTGATGACGAGACCGCCCTCTCAATTCTGGCAGGATCGACAGGCCCCCCAGGGTAATTTATATGAGTAATTTTGGACTCGATCGATAAAGGCAATGAGCTGATTTACACGTTTAATTTTAACGAAAGGGGCAGAGACAAGCAAGAACGTGTGCGGCCTCACAGGACCCGTCGGGAGGGAAGTGGGCGCATCCAAGCAGGTGTTCGCAGGTGAAACAGATCAGCAGTTTCCTCTGCCTGGTGGGACTTGCACTGGCGTTTGCGAGTGGTAAAGGCATTAGGGACCACCTTCTGGACCTGGGCTGGGAAGCTGAATGTTAATCCTGCCACTACTTTAAAACTTGTCTCAGAGTTGGGAGTGCCTGAAATTGTTTTCGACTTAATGTTGTGTGAGGACTTGGCAAAGTGTGGCAGGAGAAAGGGAGCGGTGTGCTGGACCAGGGAGAAGCAGCCTAAGGCCAGGGCGGAGGCCAGGCTCCAGGGGGGTGTGAGGGTCCTGGGGGGGGGTGCTGCAGGATGAGGCCAGGAGGCAGGCGGGGCAGCCAGAAGTGGGCCGGGGTGTGGGCGTCGGTGTGGGTGCAGCTGCCTGGCCGGTTCTCAAGCCGTGGGGTGTGCTGCCCAGAGACAAGGCTGCTGGATGGGGGGGCGCCGCTGGCCAGCTGACCACAGGAAGTGCCTGGGCGCAACGATAGCTGAGGAGGCTGCACGTTTGCTGGGGTGACATCTGTTCCGAGCGCTGCACTTGGCCAGGCCTCACCCCGCCCTCATCCCCTCCCCTCGTCCCCTCCCCCTGCACAGACAAGACCCAGGGCTGACGGTGCGCCTGGAATGAGGGACCGCAGGCAGACACTGCGGGGTCCCATGGGGACATGCTGTCACACAGTCGAAGCCTCACACACTGGCCACACACCCGCACAGAAAGGTGAGGCCGCTCACTCTCAGTCATACCCTCCCTCGCCCTTGGGTGCACACTCTGGAGACACATACCTGGACCTCCCCTCCACGTGTCCCTGGGCACATCCGGTGGCTCCCGTGGAAACTCCGGGTGGGAAGATGGGTCACCGGGTATGTCCCAGCCCCGCCCAGGCCTGCCTCCCAGGAAGGCGCCCGGCTCTGCCCCCACAGCACACCTGCTCCCAGCAAGAGCTCACTGGCTCTTTTCCCACCAGCATCCTGTGTCCCTGGGAACTGGGGTTGGGCACAGCCCAGGGCACAGAGACCTAGACCCAGGAGAGCCCGCAACAGACATGGTGACATCCGGGCCTGACCTTGAGCCAGACCAGGGACTCTGTACTGCATGCCCACTGAGAACAAGAGGCTTAATGCGGGCACAGGGCTGGCCACCCAGAGCCGGGTCCAGCCGAGACCCTTGAAGGTGCCCTGCTCTCCAGCCTCAGCTCCTGTGACCCCTAGAGGCTAGTGTCTTCTGGTTGAGCTCGTTGCTGTTATGCCCCTGGAAGAGTTCTAAGCTGAGAAAATTGGAGCCCACTCTGCACTGACCCCTTCCCTGCTGCTCACACCGGTTGCTGTCCCTCTCACGGCCTCAGATTGGACACCCAGCCCATCAAGTCATCAGCTGCTCGTCCTCCACCTGAGCCACCGAGGCACTGACCATGTACACCCAGAGCTGTGGGCAGTGGGGCCTTGGGTCTGGGTGGGCCCTGCACCTGCCCTTCAAATCCTCGGGCCACATGGGGGCCAGTTCCCAGACCTGAGCCCGGGGCCTCTCTAACACTTCCTCAGGCAGATGCACGGGCTGCCATGGGAGGCACTGCTGCCCTGTCCCCTGACCCTCAAAGCCACGGGGAGCAGAGACACCCAGAGGAGGCAGGCCCTGGGCTCTGTGCGTCGGCCTGGGCCCAGCACTGGGACTCGTGAACAGCCTGGAGGGGTTGGCTGGCTTTAGTGGGTGGGAGATGCAGATGCAGCTGGTCATTTCCCTTAAACACACACACACACAGAGCTCCAGGGGCACCCAGAATGGGCGCGGCTTTCTGGCCCAGTGCCCCTGAACTGGGGGCTCTGTTTTGCCATAAAGACTGGTCTCCCGATTAGTGGACAAAAAAGCCCTGCCAGTGATCCGAGCCCCGGGTGGTGGGCAGGCCGAAGGCTGCTTCCTGCCGTCTCCACCTGAAGACTCCATTGCTTTTATGCGGGGAATCCCGAATCCCTTGGTGGCCCTGCACCCGCGTCCCTGCTGCTCAGAGCCCCACTCTCGAAGATGGCCTCGAGGGCCCCTCCCGCCCTGACTGGTGGATCTAGAGCCGAGGGACCTGGAGGGGGCAGTTGAGTGCCACCACTGCCCGAGCTCCACAGCCACGGGCCAGCCCAGCCTGGGTTCTGAGGTCGGCCTACGGGAGGGCGCGTGTGTCTGTCTCGGTCTGTGCACATCTGCGGGTCTGTGGGCCTCTGTGTGTGTCTGTCTGTGTCCTGGCTCACAGGACAGTCTGAAGCCACAGCCCACACCCTTCTCTGTCTGGCTTTCGGTCAGGGCCACGGGGAGGTCAGTGTCCTGGAAAACGATTCCGCAGGACGCTGACTCAGAGCCACTTCCTCCCCACCCGCACCCACCCCCACCCCCACCGTTGGGGAGCACAGGCGCCCACAGCTCAGACCCACAGCCCTGACTCATCCCTGGCCGGCTCCAGCTGGATGTGTCCCGGGAAGGGCACTCAGGGACACAGGAAGGAGCCCATGCGGAGGCGGATCCCAGGGTCTGTCTGGGTCCTGAGCACCCCCACCCCCACCCGTGGGGCCTCTGGTTGGGGCTGGGGGCGTGTGAGGCTGGAGAACAGATTGGAACCTTGTGTTTCTCTGAGGTCGCCTGTACCCTGGACACAGGTCACATCCACCCTTTCGCTGCGTGTCCCCCTCTCCTCACGTGACACACATCTGCACGGCTTCTGCTCGGGGCCTTTCCCTCACTCGTACAGATTTACGGAAATTCTGTTACAAATTCCTGAGGCTCACCCTGTGTCAGTGTGTCCTTAGTGAATGTCTCCTCATATTTAACTTCTCTCTCAGCTTCTTTAAGGTGATTTTGATGAACGGGCTTTGGGTTTTTTTTAAGTCAAATTTATCTGCCTCTTATTTTATTTTTTATCGATTTTAGATGAAGAGGAAAGTGAACAGAAAGAGAGAGTCATTGGTCTGTTTCCCACTCGTTTATGCGAATCAACTGATTCTTGCATGTGCCTGACTCAGGATCAAAGCCACAACCTTGTCCTATGGAGATGAGACTCTAACCAACTGAGCTACCCGGCCAGAGCTATGCATTTCTTATTTTAGAGTTGGAGCATTTTTAGTGTATTTAAGACTCCAGGTTTTCTGTTCCCCTTCACTGGAAAGGCAGGGGCAGGTGGCTGTGGGCCTCAAGCTGGAGGGGGGTGTGTCTGTTTATCTGTGTGTGTGTGTGTGTGCACACATGTATCTCAGTGTGTCTGTGTGTGTGTACATGCATGTACCTCTGTGTGTCTGCGCCACAGGCTGGGTAGAGTCGGATCTGTCAGTAGGACGGTGCTCAGCTCCAGGCCTGGTCAGGCCCTGTCCCCAGGAGTGTGGTGGAGAGGCCAGCCCCCCCGTTTGTGCCAAGGGGAGTGGGCGAGGGTGGGGGCAGGGCCGGGCTCCGCTGGGATGCCCAGCCTCCAAGGGGCGTGTGACAGCGGCCCCCACAGGTGCGCTCTTGACCTTTACAGACAGATTCCATCTCCCAAGTCGGAAATGCACTTCAGAAGCTTTACCCTGAGATTTGGGTCGAAACCTTTGTCTCAGGAGCTGGAGCCTGGTTCCAGGCCCAGGGAAGGAGCATCCTGCTCAGGCAGTTGGGGTGTCTGCCTCACGGTCTCCCCTCAGATGCTCCGCAGGCCCTGAGGTCCATCAGTGACTGGCTCCTGCTTCCTGCTCCCACCCTCACCCTGCTCCACCCCAGGAGAGCCCTGAGGCCCCTCCGCTTCCCTCGCCTGTCACTCCGGCAGCAGGATCCCCACCATCACTTGTTTCCTCCTTCCTTCCTTCTTCCCTCCACCCCTGGTCTAGTGGCTTAGAAGAGGACCCTGCAGGTCAGCCTCGGGCACGTCCTGTCCTCCTCTGCCAAGTGGACAGCACAGTACCTGCTGCATAGAGAGCCCTCGGGGCAGGTCTCCTGGGGAAGGGACGCTAAGACAAGTCCCTGTGTCCTGCGCAAAACCCCAAAGTGGACAAGGCAGAGAGGAGGGACGTCTGAACCCAACCACTAGGCTCTTGATGACACTGTGACCCTCCCACAGACGGCCCCTCTCGTGCTCAGAGGAGGCGCAGGGCAGATGTGCTTCTCCAGGAACAGTTCGCTGCAAGGCCCCTCTCGGCTCCGGGCCTCACTCACGAAACTGAATCTGGCGTGACAAAGCAAGATGGGGACACCTCGGAAAGCCAGTCAAGCCGTGCGTTCATTCCCTGCCTGGTCTCCTGGTGGGATGGCGGGGGTCCCTGTGGCCATCGGCACTGGCCAGAGATGGGCGCTCTGCCCGATGAAGGAGTTCTGTAGAGCTGTGACCCGCAAGGTGCAAAAGGACAAATCATTGAAGAGCAGCCTCTTCAATGCTCGTCTTTCACTAATGTGGACCGAGCATGGTGGGTGAGGTCAGTGTGCACGAGGAGGATTCAAGTGCGTTCGGGACCCACTCACTAGCAGACCCCAGGTCAGGGCAGCCCCTGGACACCAGGCAGCACTGTCTGGCTGTCAGCTGGTGCTTGCGGCCCTCAGAGGGAACCCAGCTGGACAACCTTGATTAATTCCGAAAGAAACCCTGAAGGCACCGAGGCCCTAAGTCATGAGCAGGGTGCACCTGGAAGCTG